GATAATACATATACTTGTAACATGATTATTACAAACTTATTTTTGACGTTATTAATTGTTTTCATATAAGATCCAAAACTGTTAATATATACATGATCAATTACACATGAATTTTCTTACGAAACAAGTACAACAAGGTAATGATATTTAACAATTTCAAATTGATATTTTATATTCTTCACCAAACAGTGGAATGCACATTTATTTTATGAATGTGAAGTTGGCAAAGCCATGCCCCACAACATTATTGCCCCAAAACGACAACCAATGTCACAATCACTCTAAGTAGACATCAATATTATATAATTAAAAATCGATACTATAATTATATAAAGTTTTTAAACAAATTATTTTTAAAACTTGTAAATATGTAAAAACATTCTGTTTGATTCTTAACATGCTGAAACCTGTTTAATCGTTTCTACTTTAATTCAAAATTTAAAATGATACTATTTAACTCACGGGAAAAAAATAAAAATTTTAAAATGATACTGTGCTATTTAACTCACGGGATATAATCTATTATGTAAATATGTCAAATTTCATTATGGCTTTGTCCCTTATATATTTTGCAAAGTACAATTATCTTGTTCTATACATTTTATTAGCCCATTTATTCAACATATTATAATTACTATAAGTATTGTACTTTACGTCAAATATATTTTCACAACAAAGACAATGTGAATTACATCATAAATTTGTCATGACATCGAGTGTTGATATCTCCATTTCGTCTTGAAAACCATAGTTCCATTTGTAGCTAAAAGTTTCTATTAAGCAAACAAAACCAATGTAAAAAAAGGCACAAACATATAATACATCTTGGATAAATTATTGACAAGATCCATTGACTAATAATTCTCTCAAAAAAGAGCACGTATATAAACTCGACTATAAATATTTTCAACCGATGTTTAACCCTTTGCATAATTATTAACAAAAGAGAGTGCGATGCTAGCCAAATGCGCAATATTCAAAACCTGTTTTCGAACCACGTTCTTTAACTCTCCATTCATACTTTTAGCCGAAAAACCATCCGTACATGTATCATCATCTGTCAAAGCAGCACTGACCCATGTTTCTATACTGTTCATGTTAAACAGAAAGTCAGATCCAGATCGAACCTTTCCCATTTCCACCATGGAAATATGGAGCTCATATGCTGAATCACTTATCTCTTCAAGACAATCTTGTAGTGCACCCGATTCCCTCTTAGTTATCTTGTGGGTTCTTGAATAAATCGTCAGATTTTTAGAGGTTGAGCGAGTGGTGCTGAGGGTTGCCGCAAGTGCGGTCTGCGCCAAGAGTCTTGGACTGGTTCCGATGCGTGATATGAAAGGCGAGAGGTACACGTAACAAAGCTGAGGGTACAATGTTTTGTTGCATGATTTGTAGAGGAAAATGGTATTCGATTTTATTGGGCATATTGCAAGGCTCAGTAGTATGAGCCATGCTAAAATTGCTCGCCCCATCTCTCTCTAGATTCTCTGTCTAAGGGAATGAAGATAAGAAAGGAATGGGTTGCAATATATGGGCAAAGATTGCATATGTCATGATGGTGGGTACCTTATCGCATGTCGATATATATATATATATATATATATATATATATATATATATATATATATATATATATATATATATATATATATATATATATATATATATATATATATATATAAGGTTAGGTTCACGTGAGACAGCCTAATTTTGTGAGACCGTGACACGTATTTATTTATTTATTTTTTAATTTTTTTAAATTTTTTTTAGTTAATTCAAGTTCCGAAAATAATATTTAAAAAAAGAATTTTTTGATTTTTCTATTTATTTTGCATTTTAAAATTATTTTTAGAATATGTACAGACGTACAGTGTAATATTTTATTTAGAATATTTCACGTATTTTAAAAAAAAATAGATTTTTTTTTTATTTTTTATTTATTTATTTTTAGTTAATTCAAGTTCCGAAAATAATATTTAAAAAAAGAATTTTTAGATTTTTCCATTTATTTTGCATTTTAAAATTATTTTTTAGAATATGTCAGTGTAATATTCTATTTAGAATATTTCACGTATTTTAAAAAACAAAACCGTGATTTTTTTTATTTATTTATTTTAATTTTTTTTAGTTAATTCAAGTTCCGAAAATAATATTTAAAAAAAGAATTTTTGGATTTTTCCATTTATTTTGCATTTTAAAATTATTTTTAGATTTGGTCTCACGGTCTCACAAAATTAGAATGGTCTCAAATGACCTGAACCTATATATATATATATATATATATATATATATATATATATATATATATAATATATAATATAATATATATATATAATATATATATATATATATATATATATATATATATATAATATGGGAAAAGTGAATATACCCTTATGGGTATATAAGCTTAGGTACCCAAACTCCAAATACTACATCGTTTTGTATCATATATATACATTGTAATTGTCTAATGTTCTTATAATTTAACTTCTAACTTGATTTCATTCAAAGATTTTTATAAATTTCACATTTATTTTCTTCTTACATAATTTTCATTTTCAACTATAATATATATTAGGGGTGAGCATTTGAACCGGTAGACCAGACCGGACCGGTGAACCGGACCGGACCGGACCGTTTTTTTGGACCCCCCGGCCCGTTCTCGGTTTTCAGATTTTTCTCCGGTCCGATCCGGTTTTTTCCCGGTTCGGTCCAGTTTTTACCGGGTTTAGAACCGGTTGGACACGATCAAGATTTTTGTGATGTTTTTTAAATACTCATAACTCATTCGTTTTATGTCGGATTAATATGCGGTTTTTTCCAGCATTTAGTTTACAGTTTGTAGATGAATTTAGACTATAATTTTGTTTATTTTGGTATTATATTCATCGCGTTACAATCTTTCAAAGTAGAGCTATCAAAGCTGAAAAAAATTCAGCTTTTCAGCAAGATTTTGTAATGCATGACGTTTTTTAAACACCCATAACTCATTCCTTTTAAGTCGGATTGACCAGAGATCTTTTCCAACATTTAGTTTGCAGTTTGTAGATGAGTTTAAACTATAATTTTGTTTATTTTTGTATCATATTCATTGAGTTACAATCCTTCAAAGTAGAGCTATCAAAGCTGAAAAAATTCAGCTTTTCAGGAAGATTTTGTAATCTGTGATGTTTTTTAAACACCCATAACTCATTCGATTTAAGTGGGATTGACCTACGGTTTTTTCCAACATTTATTTTACAGTTTGTAGATGAATTTAGACTATAATTTTGTTTATTTTGGTATTTTATTCACTGAGTTACAATCATTCAAAGTAGAGCTATCAAAGCTGAAATATTTCAGCTTTTTAGTATTATTTTATACTATAATTCCGAGTCCGCGTTTAGCACATGTGGTAGAGTTGTAAGTGAGTATCAGACTAGTTTATCGACATTGATAGTTAAAGCTTTGTTATGCACCCAAGATTGGGTGATAAATTCTACAAATCCGATAGTTGACAACGTTGATGACATCTTGAACGATGATGATATAGCTTTGGGTAAAAAAATTACAATCTTTATTCTTTTTTTATACAATTATTACTTTTTATTAAATAGTAACAACATTTTCATTTGTGTTTATATAGAGAAAAGAATATGGATGATAATGATACGGGGAAGAGGCCGGTGGAAGATTAGATTATTAGTTTATGAAGTTTGTTAGTTTGATTGATTTTAAAGTTTAAACTATGATTTTTGTTGTTATGGTAATACTTTTATATGTTTGTCTTAAAATTGTTTAACTTTTGTTGGTGAACTTGATTTATATGTTAGTTGTTTTTATTTGGAAATTTAATTTTTGCAAATTGCAAGTTATAATATTATACATCAATGTAGATTAGTTAGGCATGAAACGGAAACATATTAATTTTGCAAGTTATAATATTATACATCAATTTAGATTACATATACTCTATGCAATTAAAGTTGTACCGGTCCAAACGGGTCCAAAAACCGGAAAACCCGGACCCGGACCCGGACACGGACACGACTCATCCGGTCCGGTCCATGGTCCACAAAATTCTCCATAACCGGTCCGGTCCAAGAGCCGGTCCGGTCCGGGCCGGTCCGGGTCGGTCCAAATGCGCACCCCTAAAATATATAGTCTAATTGATGTTTGTCAAAAAGATGTGATGTAAGAGGAAGATAATAATCAAATTTTAAAAATCTTGAAAATAAATCAAGTTAAGGATTGAAGTTGAAGAACATTATAATAAATATATCAAACAAAATGATGTATTATAGTAAGTTTGAGTACCTAAGCTTATATACCCTTAAGGGTATATTCACTTTTCTATATATATATATATATATATATATATATATATATATATATATAGTGAGAGAGAACGAAAGAGAGATCATAGTTTTCCGAAAAGTAAAAGTTGAGTGTTAATTCAACTAAAAAGAAAGATCTAGAACTCGAGATGCAAGGTGACGTTTTTGAAAATAAATATAAAAAATAAAGAATGTTATCTAAATTAATTCGGCTAGAGGTATTGTAGGAAAGAAATTTTTAATTAAATTATATCGTTAATATACCAATAAACTAGAATTACATCCCTTTTCCTCTCTTAAACCCACGTCTGCCCTCATCCTCAGCGTGACCTTATTCTTCGATGATTCCCTTTGTCAACTTCTTCTCCAGCATCAGATCATCTACTATTTCGCTTCACCTTCACCCCCACCACTAATGATTCGCTCATCAAGCCTGCTGGTTTCCCCTAAAATCAACGCCACATCGTCCAAATTTGGAGTTATTGTTCATCACTGATTTCTCATCTCCGACCGATTTTGAATGCACCAACTCGACTCCTCTACAATTCCATCGAGATATAGAATTAATCATCTTTCTATCAAAGATCTCACGTCTCAACACCACAATCGCATAAAACTCATTTTTAATTGTAACATCCCAAATTTTGGGGCCAAAAATTTCATTTTTAATTAAGTAACTTGTATCATAGTTTACCAAACATTACTAATTGTCTTATCAATAAAGAAAAAACATAACAATGTGTCCCAAAATATCATCAAAAGTAATAAAATCAGAGTACAATCCCAGAAAACTCAAGGTGGAAATCAAATGTGTGCGTGTGTGATGCGTTGCTATGCCGTCGGCTCCTTCCCCTTGGATGAAAAGGTACCTAAAACCAAAACTGAAACTGTAAGCATAAAACTTAGTAATTTTCCCCATTATACCACATACTAAAATAAAATGGTCCTAATGAGGGTGTTAGGATCATTTGGGACATGCAAAAGGCATAAAGTTGTCAACTTTATGCCTAAAGTTGCCAACTTTATGCCTTGGGTCATCTAAATAGGCCTAGATCTGACTTCTGGACGTATAATAATCAAGCATTAAGCACTTAATGGAAAGTGCTTAACATGTTAGTACGCCAGGTGTAGATCTGAGTATGATGCATGTAAGTCCCCAAGCCCTAGTACATCGCGCGTACCAGGGTGGTATGCTGAGCGTACGTGTCTCAGATGGGCTTGGGCCTGTTTTGGGCTTTTGGAGCTATTAGCCCTCACTTGGTTATTGGACTTGGTTGCATTCTGTGAATTATGGGCCATTACATCTGTTTTGGGCCTTGGGTATATTTGTTGGGCTTTAATAGGCCAAGACTCCCATTAATGAGATTGAACTTAGACTTTGGGCCCATTAGTTAGGGAAGGATAAATGGGCCTCATAAACGGGTTGAAGTTTGGGTTTCTTTTGACTATGTAAGATCTTGACTTTAATTTATTGTTATCTTTTAGCACGGGAGGTTTCAGAGTGTTAGGAGACCAATGTTTGTATTTCAGTCGTCAGAGGTGAGTCTCCTCACCATACTAATGGTTCTAAGGCACCAAGGTCGACTCTTTATGTGACCATGATATATGTGTTAGATATGCTATATGATTGTGTGTTTTGTATGAAAGACCATGGGAGATCCCATGACACTTGGATGTATGACCATGAGGAGAGCACATGGCTTTCCTATTAAAGACAATGGGAGAGCCCATGACACTTAGGTGTAAGACCCTGGGGACGAGCCCATGACATCTTGGAGTAAGACCGTGGGGACAAGCCCGCGGCCTCCTTCACTATTGTATGCACGGTTTACATGATATGTGTGTAGCTTTATTTAGCTAACATGATGTTAGTATGTGTGGTGTGGGGTATACTCTGATGAACTCACTAAGCATTTTGCTTACAGGTTGTTGTTTTGTTTCAGGTACATCTGAGCCCAAGGGCAAGGGCAAGGCGTGATGGCACGACATGCATTTTATCTCTCTCTTTCACTGATAGGAATTGGGGACACTGATGATTTGAATAAGTTGTAATGAATTGATCATCTGAAAACAATTATGTTGGGATTTCATGGTTTACATAATTATGTTTTATTAATTAAATGAGAAAAATTTTCTTTACAGTTTGGGTCGTT